AAGCGTTTAATTCCATCTTGGTATGTAGTAATTATTTATTGATTTATTCACTGACTTGCTATTAGTTTTTCTTTTAATATGACCTAAACTGCAAAGGTTTTTATTAAGCTTAGCTGCATTCGCAGACGCTTGGAGCTATGGGCTAGGCTGAAATTATATTCTGTACAATAACCCTCAGTTATGTCTTTCTTCTTGTTCTCAGGTATATTTTTATAATTCAAAGTTGATCAAATGGTTTAATAATTGCATACAATATATTATTAGAAAAGTAATCGGAACAGTGGACGAAGTTAGCTTTAAAACGATAATATTTTTGAAGTTATGTGAAAAAATATTTTCCACTAAATACCATAAATTAATCTTTTATATCTTCCGGACATACTTTATTAGTCACCATATATGTGACAGATGCTTAAATAGAAACATAAGTAATAACATTTAGTTTATTTTCCTTTTTCGAATGAAGATATTGTGCTCCGTTTATCTGGATTTTTATTTCGTGATTTATCCATTCTTTGGTCCTGAGTGATTTCGTAGTATCGTAATAGTATTGTACTAGCGTTTTGTAGTAGGAAAATGTACTTTATAAGTATTCTTAATGTATTAAACAAAATGGAAAAGCTAGTTTACTGATATGTTGTTATAAGAAAAGATGTTGGTGAACAACTTCTACCACAATTACGGTTTTGATTTGTTTTTTATTAAAGCTTGCTCTATTATGTCATACTTCATTTGAATTATAAAACTGCAGTATGATAGGAAAAGAATTGTTTTCATGGAACAAGATGAGGTAGACTTAGTTAAATCACTAGACCACCCGTGACCCTTTGGGTCACCCACTATTCAAAGGTTATGAAGAATTCTAGCTAATTTCAATATTGCACCGAAATGAAGATTTATTTTGAGGTAATTTAATTATCCATTATTTCAATCCATTCGTGTTATTCATAATTCAAGAAAAGATATTTGATTGTTGATCGGGAGTAAAAGGAAAGACCATTTCATTTTTCAAAAAAGTAAGTCAGAGTTTTCAGGTATTGTGATGAATTAGTTCATTATGATGTGGTCTTTTGTCTTAAACCTTCTTCAAATAAGAAACAGTAACACTTTATTTTTTCT